TTTTTTTTTTTTTTCTTTCTTTTTCTTTCTTTTTCTTTGCCTTTTCTTCCCTGTATTCTGTATTTGCCAATGCTATGGACACTTTCTGTTTTTGTAAATTCTTCCTTCTATTTTTATGTGCTTAATTTTTTCTCTTTTTATGGAAAATTTGATTCTTAAGCGCGGAGCAGTAAAGACAGACATAGGCAGTATTAGGGACTCAAATTGGAAGTAACAGGGAATTAATGCAATATAAGAAGAATACGAATAATAGTAATGTATAGTTATTTCTACGGGTACAGTATATTTCAGTTCATGGTAGCAGTATGGGAACGGTAGATTTAGTGAATGCATTGGCGGATTGGTTAATCCGCGCGGGGTTTCCCGTTCAGGACGAGTATGAGGTACGAACATACAGGAACAGATTTGCAGCACGGGGGAGTACAGTGCTTGGGTTTTATTGGTACAAGAAGGAATGAAGCGTAGCAGGGCACATAGCATTAAAGCACACATGCGCTTGCATATTTCTTGTGTTTCTTACATTGTAGGCAATGGTGTGGGAGAAGACCAAGGACGTAATGGAGGAATTTGTGGAATACATGCAGAATGAGCACATACTATTGTATGCATCGAATTGTGGTCACGCAGGATGGGAGCACCCCGACTACCAAGACGGTCTGCAGAGAGTAGGACACAAGGTCGGCGATAAAATTATATGCGTTCTTATGGTAGGGGCACTATATTACATGAATGGGTGGCATACTGCACAACACATTAGACAACAGGAGGATGCAACCAACGCAAGCATACGAGAGCACTTACGATGTATAATAGTACATATGTTCAGTCAAGTATTAAACGAATCCGTGTGTAGAAGTAAATGGGCCACATTTTATGCATGGCACATAATGGAACAATTAGGGAAGGTTGGAGGTTTTTCGCAAGGTTTAATACAGAGGGGGAAATGTGGTAGAAACATATCTGCACATTTGAAAATAAGAGAACTTGAGCTAAATGCACAAGTCAAACAATGGTTAGGGCAAAATAGCAAACTAAAAGAGGCAATACAGAAAATACAAGGAAAGGCATTGTGCACGACACCGTGGCAGGAAGAATGGAGCATAGACGAAATCCTGGGGCATGGGAATATAGATGATTCGCCACGACCGGAGATTGCTCAGATAATGCACGGACTGAAAGCAGGAATGGCGGAAGTATTTAAAGGAATTAAGCAAGATGTAGAGCATGGCATAGAAAAAAGGGCACAGGCGAAGAAGGACAACTTAGGTAAGGTATGCCAGGTTCGGGTACACTGAGACAGCTTAGAACGCAACAGGCAGGATAAGCACCCAGACGACAACTACAGACAGTTTCGAAGTAAAAAGGAAAGTGCACAAGGGAACAAGATGGTGATATGTGAACAACGTTCATTGCTGTGTCCTTGCAAGAACACAAAAAGTACATACTAACCCTTGTAATTCCTATTTCTCCCTTTATTGCAGCGAAGGATGACAAAAGAGGTCAGGCCGCGACCAAACCGGCAACACCATCACCACATGGACCGTCAGGTAAGACCGATGGGACAAAGCACGAATACGCGACCCGATACGGCCAAATACGGATGGAACGCCTGCTACGTACCGATACGCATATGGATGCCACCGCCAACAACAACACACGCACGAGGCACAACCTCTTCGCTGCCCCACATCGGTTGAGCGATGAGCGGCGCGGCCCTATTCGCTGACCCACTTGGGTTGAGCGGCGAATGTACAATTGCCGAGTGGAGCGGCCACGACGGCAGCGGCAGCTTTAGCAGTAGCGGAACTGACGGGGGAATATTTCCCCCCGGGGTGCAACATTTTTACCCGGGTGTGCAGAAGGGGTGGATATTAATGCAGGGCCAGAATTGTGGGAGTGTTAGGAAAAAAAAACAACAGCACTGTTACATTTTATAAAAATCTTTGCCACATGTTGTATGCATGGTAATCATAATGCACTGTTTTTTATATGTAGGATATGAAATAATTGTTTCTTATATGTGTGCAATGTGGGCAGACTTTTCCCCTTTTTTCTTCTTAAAATGGGTTTCTCGCCCATAATATCAATAAACACTTGATCATATGAACAAACAATAAAACATAAACACAAACCATTTATATATGCGGAAAAGTGTACAAACAACATTATAATATACAACACGCAACTATAGGATACATGCTATAAAGGACAACATAACCCACATAATACATCCAAACATACAACATCATAAAACAATGTCAATCTAATAGCTATGCAAAAAAATGTATTATTGTTCACTATGCAGTAAAACACGGAATAATTACGTCTTCTTCGATTCCTTATTTACTTTTCCTTCGTTTTTTTGCGTTTCTGTGGGAGCTTCCTCCTTCTCCTTCTTGTTCCAAATTTTATCCAGTAAACATTTGCCTGTCTTCGAGCGGCAGAAACATACTAACACGCACGCATAGATGACTGGAATCAGTATGGAAGTTCCATATATGCCCATCATCGGCCAGAAACTGAGTACTGCCTGACTAGACATTAAGGACGCGTGCACGATGCTTTGTGCTACGGGGGATATAAGGAATGAATACACGACTGAGAAGACAACTATAACCTTCATCCATGCCCTTCTCCCCATTTTACAACGTATCAATTTCTTCAAACCTCTTCTACAATTATTCCCTGCAGTTATATTCTGTGAGGTCTTCTTTTTGTGCTCTGCCTGCTTTTCTTTGTCTCTGGACTTTAATTTTCTTCGCATGTCATCGAACATCGTGCCCTTCTGGCGACCTGTCGCACGACCGTCGTAAAAGTTACGTTGACCCCGTTTCCCTATATCTGGTTCACCACTCAACGATACGGCTGTAATTGCATCCGTAGCGTCATATGGGCTTGTGCCATTATTCGATGATGTACCTATGGTACTCGCCTAAAAAAAATGACAACAAAGCGGGAATATATATGCGGGTGCTATGGTGTATGCATACAAGGATGTAGAGCGTGCAAATGGTAGGACGGTTTATAGTTGTTATGAGAAAGTTAAGGCATTATCACAATAAATGTGGTAACTCCCCCAAAATACAGCTCTTGATAATCATACACAGTCAGCACTTTGCCCAAAACACAGGGCCATAATAAATATAGAAAATTTCACAAGAAACGTCATTGTGTTCGCATTATTTCCTTCGGTGTATAAAATGGTAGAAGTGGCGATATGTTGCGTGTTTATATGTATGAATCATACAACTATTATTTTGCTTTTTCCACATGTACGTGTATAGATTATGCGTGTAATACTTTTGTTCATCGGTCAATAGTGAACATTGATAAAATCAATTGCGTACGAAATATACTATTCTTACCTAGGTATGTACATAAAAATTAAATGAAGTATACATATGCATCATAATATAAATAAAGAATAAGAGAAAGTGCATAAGAACCCCGGATAACCCATTCTTGGTACATATTGTACGACGTAAAAGTTGACTAAAGGGGTCACCCTTTTTCACAAATCTAATACGGGCTCATCAGCTATGTCGCCGTGTTAACGGCGTAATGGGAGCAAAGAGCATATGCACGAGAGCAAAATTCCACATCTGGAATAACACTTTACTATGTTAAATTAGGTATAAGAGTGAGAAAGATAGTAACAACAGAATCAAGTATGCCCCTGTTACATATAGGAACGGCGAAGACTTTTTTTTTGTGTTTGGAGGTATAGAGCAGCGGGCTCAAAGTTACATTGTATCAGTGTTTTGGGGGGGTTTGTTATTGTCACGTATTCGCATAATTATACATGGGTCGTGGCCGTTTATTATTTATGGGGGTAGTGATTTATATCGTTCTCAGATGTATTACGCGTAGTGATACATAATAAATGAAGGAATATGGTTTACAGCCATTTGTATACATATACATGCATCTCTATCTTCTTTTTGAAAAAGTGTGAATGCATTTAATTAAGAGTGTAAGGAGCATATATATATAAAGGATAAGTGTATTGAAATTGTGGGCTTAGGGTTTACGGTTTGAGGATTGTAAAATTTCAGGTTTGTACGGTTTCACGATTGCACGCTTTCGGGGATTGTAAGGTTTGATTATTGTAACGTTTCCGCATGGTAAGGTTCCATGTTTTGCGCGGTTGCGGAATACGGTTTTAAGGTTCGGGGTTCAAGGGTCAAAGTTCAAGGGTTTAAGAGTTTAATAGGTTTAAGCGCTTTAA